TATGTGATTTTGTCACCTCTTGCACGCAATGCCATAGTTAAATATACACAGATATGGGTTCCTCAACCTCCCACTGTCACACAGTGATGCAGGCTGTCTTGATGCTGTCATCCCCTTGCACATGCAGATGTGTCTCTGTCCCAGACTCGACACAGGCTCCAGCTCTCTGCCTTCTTCAACACATATGGACTAAAGACTGTTTTCCTTATCTTCAGACTGCTAAGTGGTTCTGGCCCCAAAGGTCCCTGGAGCACCAGAGAAGCTGTTTCAGACTAAAGCTGTGGTCAACAGCCCTGCTACTTTTGACACTGACTTTACTTCAGCAGTTGAGCTTGTTTGCGTAGGAGACAAACCTTTCTTAGGGGCCTGAATGAGAGCAAATATAAATGAAATGAATTTCCATTGTAAACAAAGAACAACACAAGCCTTGCAGATATTTACTGAAAGTTCAAGGTGTTTTTAGCATTGCTTTCTGCCTATACATTGTGTTCAACACAGAACAACACCCAGAAATGGCACAGAAACTACAGTCCTTAAGCCTCAGTCCCACACAAGAGCTCTCCTTCAGGGCACAAGATGGTTGAGCAAATGGCACATCACAGATGTGCGTGGCCTAATGCACAGCTGGAGCGGCTCACACCTTCTAGGGCTGAGGATGGCAGAAGAGTTTTAGAGAACAGGATGCCCTTGAATTAATATCATTTATAAAATTAGCTAACCACAAAAAGGGCTAATAACAAGAGTAAGAATTCATGAGATCAGTTCAATAGTGATTGCCTGATACTGCGTAGTGTCAGGAAGGGCCACTGGAACCACTGGGTGTCATGTGAAAACGTACCTTTAACATGCTCAGCAGGCAACTAGTCTCTCTGGCAGAAATTTAGAACATAATTTTGGTATGACTCACTAACTTCTACATCCTTCTAGCTAAATAGGCCATCTAACATTTCTTGCCAGCTCCTGCCAAGTCTCACTCAGAGAAACAAATTGCGGCTGGACGTCAGTCTGCTATGACTGAATCACTACCACATGCCCCTGCGTGAGCCAAGCACCGGGACATAGTTACCCGTGCAAGGATGCGGGTCAGGATTTGGCCTTTTCCAGCTAGAATCCCTCCTGCCACTCTGAGCAATTTCTAGGCAAAGCTTCAGCTGTCAGAGCAATCCAGATTCCCGCTAAGTGGTTTGAATGAAGGCACCTGAATTTGGAGCTAAGATCACTAGCATAGATGTGAACTGTACTTGGCTAGTTGGCCATAGCTCTCCATTTCCTGAGTATACTTACTGTACTTGTATAGGTTTAGGCTTCCTGTCTTTCAGAAAAGTCTTTCAGTTCACAGAGACTACAGTATTTGGCTGACAGGAGTGCTTTTTATTATACTCAGGACACCACAACTTCATGATATACTATGTTATAGGAAGTATATTTTTCTGGTTATGTTTCATGCTAGGTAGTGTTAATGACAGGTTATAATATGTTGTCCCTGGATTTACCTTAGGCAGGTGTGTTCACTGCTTTTTATTTCCACTATGGAAAATATTTAATGCTTTTATCTCCCTATATTACATCTGGCTGATTTTACTCTAGAACAGTGAGAATCAGGTACCTCTATTTTTTTTGTGAGCATTTCCCACATGTAGGACTGGCCCTCACCTAGAAGCTGTAGGAACTGACACTGTGAGAGACACTGTATTGATCTTTGCTAAGCAGACATGTGCTTTCCTTCAGTATATCCTGTATTTGGCCTGCATCGATAAGCCAAACAGCCTGAATGCTTTAACAGCGTTAGGTGTTTTTCAGGCTTCCCTGAAAATACACACACTTTTGTGATGTTTTAATAGAACTGTATATGAATTTTAGGCTTTGCTGTGATGAGCAATTTGACAAGACCTTGGTGAGATGTTAAGCTCACTCTGTTCAATGTGCTGTTGTGAAGGCATCAGCTCCCGTACCCAGAAGCAGTCTAGTTGTGTCACTGTGTCACTCGGACAGAATTAATCGATTTTGCTTTTTTACCACTGATGAAGTTGTACTGCTTCTAATTACTGGGCTATAACTCAGTGAGCCTTAGTTTGGAGATCACTGCTGCAATGCAGCTTTGGGCACACTTTCTGTGATATTAGGCTTGAGGTCTAATCCAGTCTATTAAAGCCAGTGCCCGCCTTTTATTTAATATTATGCATAATCAGTTTTCAAATGCAAAAAAAAAAGGGTTGTATTAAGGAACTATAAGTTAAAAGTTGCTAAGCTGTCATCAATTTGACTACAGTATTCATTTGTTCTTGAAAATCTGGATTTTAGCAAAGATGACATATCTTGCATTTTAAAATTAAAGGTGCTGTGCAAAAAGGATTTATTCATCAAAGGAATAGGTACTGCATATTTTAATCTTTCAATTTAATTATATTTATTTTTACTATGAATTGCATCCCACTCCATCATATTTCTCAGAGCTTTCCTCAGACTAAAGAATACTTAACAACTTCAACACCCATTCACTTCAATAGCCTCCTCAAATCAGGACCAGATACACAGGTATTATTTCACTTGCAAAAAATACTTTTCTTGGAGGCAGCTAAAGTGCTGCAGTAAAGAGAGTTAGTGTGTTAGAGTTAAATAAGAAGTGGTTATCTAGCCTAATCCCTGAAGCAGAGTCTAAAGCAGTCACAGCTGCAACATTCTGTGCATATGAAATTTTTTATACATGCTAAAAAAATCAATAAAAAGTCACCTTTTGAAACCAGAGATCTGCTGCTCATGAATTACATACCTGGTCAGGTATCTAATATTTACCCCTGGAGGGATTTTTTTCTACAGAGAGGCTCTAACTTCCTATCAAGTGAAAATGTTCACCTTCCTAGTAATTTGGACAGGAGTTAGCATGATAAAATGATTTGTTATGCCAATAAAGTTTTTGTTACACTGTAAAATGGTTTGTTACGCTACTATTGCTACATAAAAATGTTATGAAAATTAAGGAGATTATAAGCTCCAGAAAGCAATAGTCTGCTTTTAAGACTTCCTACTAGGAAAAAGAAAGAAAGATCTTCCAAGCTACACAGCCAGCCACCCACCAATTTTTTTAGCATTGTAAAAAGGCCACCTAAATGACCTTTCAGCTAACAATTGAAATTGGTATCCCAATTAGGAAAGCAGTTATGAGTCTGAAATGAATGGAAACTCACTCAGGCCAACACTATGCAGAAAATGGGAGGAAAGCTGCAACAGCTCTCAATAGCTAGGTGCTGATTTCTGACCTACAGGACAGTAAATCAAGCAAGACTAGATTACAGATGGAAACTACAGAATATTTTTGTGGTGGGCTGATCATAGATGGAATCATAAGATAATAGGATGGAAGGAAAAACTTACTTTGCATATGGGATTTTAATTTCAATATGTGTATATCATTCAAAAGCAATTTGTGAAACAGTTTAGTTCACAGTCAAGCCTTATGAGTTTCTGGAATATTTTAAACAGACAATGAATTGTATCCACAAATTATTCATGATTGCTCCAAGCAATCATTTACTCTGCAAGAATGGGAAAATCTGTGATATCCCATGCTTTACATAGCACCATGTAAATTCTTGCACCATTTTCATATTTTACTATATTGTGCTTATGTGATTATATGTGATAAGATTATGTGATTACTATATGTGATTATGTTTGTAAATACCTTTACACCATTTTCATATTTTACTATATTCATATGTGATTATGTTTGTAAATACCTTTTTTTCTCCTATTATTGATATTACTGTTTGTTCCAGTTTGGTAAATTTTGACCAGAACTTGACAGCATAAAAAAAGAACAAAATACCTCCTGATTTCAACAGCTGCTGTCTTTCCACAGAGCTGTGAATTAGTTTTAAAGTTTTAATATGGATATTGACATACACATGTTTGGGCCCCTAGAAAAGTGATTTCGTCTTCACTGGAAAAAGTCCTCATTCAAAGTCTTTCCTTAAACAAATGCACTAATTCATGCCTGGACTTACAAGGGGAACTAATCACTGTTAGTGGTTCACTAACTACTGCTGTGAGCGTTGAGTACACGGGTTATACTCCATTTCCAGTTAAAAGCAGTGGTAAGGGAAAAGCTTGGAGCTTCTTTCTTACAGAAGGTATTTGCAGAAAACTTATCTTGAACTTTTATTCTACTTCATTCTAGACAGTTGGGCAGGATGAGAAGCGTAACCCTGTGTGCACTCCTATCTGCATCCAGCTGTGGTGGGCTAGTGCCTATGTACCACATGCAGCTATGCAGGGAAGGAAACACAAGAGAGCTGCTGCTCCTAGAGGAACATATGGCACCAAATCTAATGAACCCTTCGATCACAAGGAGGAGAAGCCATCAGAGCCATGGAAAGACTCTGTCCAAGAGTTGCTGCTCCCAAATGACATCCAGTCTCTGGCTCTTCCCTACCTTGCCCGCAGGCATGTCGATGTCCAGCAGCTGAAAAGCCATGTACTGGACAGCAGTTTTATAATGTTTCAAAAATTACAAGTTTTATGACTTGTAATACATATAATTTAAACCTATAAAAATGGCTCACTAAGGTAGCATGTTCTGATGCCCCAGAATCCCAGGAAGGAATAGATAACCCTGTTAAATATAAATGAGTATTCCAATTCCTATTATTCCCCTGTCCTTTTTCAGGTGTGGCATTCATATCTCACTTCAGAAGCAACTTAGCTGGGTTACTTAGCTGTAAAACAGATTTATATTCAGGGTTGAATAAGCGTTGTTGATGGCTGTGAACTTTGGAAACTTTAGGCAAATTACTTTCAACGAAGTCTGCTGTCCTTTCAGTATATACTTTAATGAATGAGATTCAAGAATTTGTGTTAGCATTCACCTGTTCCAGCAAGGACCAGCATGGGGCCCAGATTCTTTGGTTGCCCCTATAAAACTTTACAGGAGAGAGGCAAAAAGAAGAATAGAGTACCTTTTAATATTACAAATACCATTCCCTAATTCAAAAAACACAGCACTATTCAAAATGGGTATTTAAATCATCCTGTCAGGAAAGAGAAAGACAACAGCAGAGTAAGAAAGGACTGTAAGGAGTAAGGAATCTGAGCACAATGCAAAATTGGGACTTACAGAGAGCAGTATTTGGATGGCACTGTGAATGACCTCTAGGTACTGAAAATCGATTATGCAGCCCGTCACGGAGACGTAGGAGTAATCCTCTAGGATGCCAGGAGCGGAAGGACGCACCACCCTTCGGACGCAGCCAGGCCCATGTTCCCGCCACCAGGATCGGTGCATGGAGATGTTAAAGGTCATGAGATCTGTTTCCTAGGAGGCAGGGAGAAAGAAAAGAAGAATTCTGCATCATGTAAGGCAAAGAAAGGGAAAGGGATAGGTTTAACTATTAAAAGGAAACAAACTAAATAACTCTTCCCATCTCCTGCTCCCCCATCACTCTCCCAGTATTTTTAATGTGAAACCAGACCATTCTAAAGGAAATTGCAAACATTTATCATTTCTTCTGCGATTGTGCATAGGAGCTTCCCTCACGTAGAAGGTCCAGCCTACTAGGTACTCTGCAAAGCTACGGCATGTGCCCCTACAGACTTTCAGCCTGAATTGCTACTCGATTAAAATATGACGACAGGCTTGAGTTTTTGAAGAGACAACAGAGTTTTATCCCATGATACCGGACACAACCTAAAACAAACCTGAACAATATTTATTTAAGGCAATAACTATAGAGGACTAACCTATAACATAATCTATAAGGCAATCTATAAAGAGTAATCTTGGAGGTTGCCTGCCTTCATATACTGTGCTCTGCTTTCTCCTCTCCCCTTCTGTGGACTGATTTTGGTTACATAAGCAGTAACTTCTTCACTCAGATCACTCACTGGAGATGAATGTAATTCATTCAAATGAATCTTTCAAATAATTTCAGCTTAGTTTTTCAAGTTTCTAAATGTCAACAAACTCTGAGATAGTTCTAATCATATGCACAAAATTGTCTGTCCTATGACAACAAAATACCACCACTTCGTACACGTGCCAATTTTGTGTGTTGCAACCTTTGTACCTCATAATTTCTCCATACCCAAAATATAAACTTATTGGATCATTATTTAAAGTTGATTTGATTATTTAAAGTTGATTTAAAGTTGATGAGGCATTTTCTGCCTCATCTTTTGCCATTAAGCATCATTCTTTAATGTTGGATTAGAAAATTTTCAGATGCAGTGTGAAAATGCCTTACGAAATCGGAACTCAAGAGACAATTCAATTTAATTAAAATGTAATTATAAATAAAAAGCAGAGGAAATATCCAAAGCTTTCTCAGTATGTGAGTGCTCTCAAGTGCTTTTAACAATTGCAAATGGTAAGAAAATATCATTTGTCATGCAGTGCACACACACTCACTCATATCTTTTTCAGAAAGCAGGAGTGGAGTAGGCGTATTAATTTACTATTGGCTTGTGTTTGTTATGGCTTGTGTTTATACTGAATGTTGCAAGCCAGTATTTGTCTTCACAACTGCAGGAATAAAATAAGGGTGTCTATAAGTTTATAGAAGTCCCTTTGCATTTGCTGGCTATTAGCAGGGTTTGTTTATGAAGAAAATACTGAACTGGAGACATCCATAGATTTTTTTTTTCATACTTCATATGCCAATGATGCAGTGAAAGAAGAACCAGAAATATAGGATGCTTTTTTGCTTGATTCAACAACAAAAGATTTGGCACAACACTTGTGTTTTTATTATTACTATTCAGGAAAGATGGACAAAGCCTATGAGAAGGACTTTTCATAATTGCTCTTCACCCTGTGTATTGTGTCCCAAGCCCTAAAAGCAGGTGAAAGAGGATAATGATGGCTCAGCAAAGATCAGCTTTCTAAGTACAAACAGAACCACCTGGCCCATTAGCACAACCTCTAAAACACTGCTTCACAAAATGGCACTGGTAAGCTGTTTGAGCTGATAAACGGTAAGCTGCCAATCAATAAAAGAAAGAGTGAAAAAAATCAATCCTGCAGCCAAAGCATGCTAATTTCTTGCAGATTCTTAATCCATAAAGTAAGACAGGTAAACCAGGCTTAAAAAAAAATCAGCCTGTATCTTACTGTCACTTACAGAAATATAAAAAATTCAAAAATTGATTGTTTCGTTGTGTAAGTTCTACGTATCAGTGTAATTCTTAGGGAGAGAGGTTTGGAAAGATGAGTGGAAAAGATGCTGCCCAGGTGGTTTATTCTTAATCTCTCGAAGTTAAAGAGTTATTTCGGAAACTACAGGCAGGTTCTTGAAATCTTTCAATAGATAATGCATACTATTTTCCAGACTTGCAAGCAATTGTTAAGCAAATCCTTGTAAAATGCTTGAGCTTCTGCAGGTGATATAATATCAAGTGTTTTTTTTTTTCTTGTAGAAGAATACTTCTGTTTTGTAGTGAGTGAGCACTCCCTATGTGAATGCTTTATGTACTACAGCCATTAGGCAGCCCCTTTGATGAAGCCACAGTTTAACAACTGAGATTTCAATCATTGATTGAAAATTGCTGTCTTTCTGAGCCACACATTCCTAATGCACAACTTGACCTTAATTCACCTTTATTAACTTGTTAGATATATACCATAAACTAAGAGAAGGCAGAACATGGATAATAGTACTTCCAGGAAAATCTTAGTAATTTCTCGTCATACTCCTCTTTGCAGTCATTATTATTGCCATATGCTAGTGGTAAGAAATTTTTCCCTTAACTCAGGATCAGCAGAATATCCCTACCTCTGCTGCTGGGACATCCCAGTTAACTTTATAGTTTGTGTTTTTTTAAGCTGTTAAACTGTATTTTGGATTTGTATTGGCTGTCATCCCAAGGATTAATTTTGATTATTATTGAAAATCAATGCAATAGCAGATGCTTTTCTTTTAGGTGGAATATAATCCCTTAATGTCTCAGAATACATTTTTTTAAATGTTTGGATAATAGATTTAATTTCATTGTGTCTATGAAGTTCTACATGCATTTTTAAGTGCATATTTCCTATTTTTAAGTGGTGATTCTAGATTAATGTTAACAGATAATAATGTAATATGGTTTAGCTCAAAGGTCAACAGTAATAATACTTATTATGGTCCTTGCATTTATTTGTGCATAATTTATGTATACACATTTTGCTTATACAAAAAAATCAAGTATGTATGATTAAAATAATCAGAGGTCAAGAGAAAGAGATATAAAAACTCTACAAAAATATATAGTTGTATAATATGCGAATTCTATGCTGTGATGTGATTAGGCATTGCAGACATCTTCACTGCATGCTTTTGCTTTATTACATGCTATTTTAGACTTCTTTCATTTCTTGTTAATAGCTGAAAATATGCTCTTGGGAAAACTGTAACAAAGACATTAGCACATTGATTTGGATGGAGGAGAAGCAATTCTTCCTACAGAAAACAGCAGGCAACACTTGAAATTTTACAGAATGATGCAAGAGCAGGGACCTGGCAAAGTAATTCAGTAGAAATCTTGTCTTTCAGTAGACATCTTATTTTTTGCTTGTACTATACCTAGTCCTTCCTGCTTTCTAAGTGAACACATTTCCTTGTTATGCCCTGCACTCAGTTAAGTGTGTAGTTATGAGGCAATGTTGTTCGACAAGGGGCACACACGTTCTCTAGCATCTAATTTCAAGGAGTCATTAATCCTCATTAGAAGCAAATGAGGCCTCGCATTGTTAATGAAGTCTGCTGTAATCGTAGCGTTCACCTGGAGGATGAGCATCAGCTCTAAGTTGAGGTGCTCCGGTTAGCAGCATAACCTTAGTTTTCCACTTGGTTTCCTCTTGAAACCACAGGTTTGATCCCAGCTCACTCTGGGTTTGCCCATTCACCCTCTGTTTCTCCTCACTACTGCTGAACAGTGTGATTAGGAAGCCCAGGGCAGATAATGCTAAAAATGTCACTTAGAAAATATGGAAAACTTCTGCCACTAGCATCCACATTGTCTTTCTGTGCATTATATTTTTGATTACTGTTTTTGAAGATTGACTTAGTCTTTTATGTTTATTTTTAATCTAAACTTTTATTTCCTTATTACACAGATAGTTTTTACTGGCTTGTGAGCTAGAGATAGAATATATGGTTTTCGTTATTGCAATGAAATAATGAACCATATGCAGCCTTAGGTCAAATTTTCTAGGTTGAGGTGGCTGCTGAAAATATAACAGACTCAATATCTTAATCTCACCTTTCAGCTCCAAACTGAGGACTTCATCCTGAACGCTCTGGCTAGGACCCTCTTAAATGAAGGACCCTCTTAAATTCAAACACTTTGGTACCCTACCGAGACTATTCAACTATTTGAACTGATTCACAGATTGAACACAGAAAGTTCAGCAATTTGTGGGATCTATTTAGCCTCCCTTTCACATTTAATAATTCATAATAATGCCATGTGGCTGCATCAGAAACCACGTCACAACACAGCTGAGCATTCGCTAAGGATTGGGCATTAGTTTAGTCTGGTTTAGTGTACTGTGCCACAATTAAGAAATCAATTGTTTTTTCTTTTGAGGGCCAAGTGAATCTTAAACACTTATGAAAGAAAACTTTCTGAAGAAGTAGGCCAAACTACCATTTCAGAGGTCTGACACAGTCACACAGACCTACAGTTTGGTCTTGTAAGCATCAGATCTTCTAGGCTACTAGGTAGAATAAAGATGCACACAGAGCACTCGAAGTTTCAGAAACATCTTTTCTTATATTCTTTAGTACTCCTACTGAGAAAATCTTTTAAGAAGATTTGTTTTGATTCACTGTATCAAACAATTAATTAATGTTCACAGTTTTAATTAAAAGTCACAGTTTCAAGATTTTCAGAGCACTCACCCTGCAAGGTAAACCCAGCACCATGGGCTGAGAGTGGCAAAGAGCAGTAAGGAGAGAAAGTTGCTTTTGTAGGGTGGATCAGCGGTTCGTAGTTCTCACTCACTAAAATCAGAGGTTCATGGACTGAGCAAACTCTGACACCAGACTAGGGCTAAAGTAAAGGCTTTTCAACATCAAGTATAACCACTGTTAATAAGTTACACAGATTTAATTTTTTTTTAATCAATCTCAGGTAAAAAATTATACTTCTTACACTTTTTCACTCATTAACTATATGCCCAAAGGAGAAGGAGTAGGCAAGGGGGAAGGCCAAAGAAGTTAAGCAATATTATGCTTTCATTCTGCTATTCCTTGGGCTAGAAACAGTGTTTCATTTTGCTTATTTAAAAGTAAGCAAAAGACTTTTAGAGACTTATTTGAAAAGCAGGAACATGAT